CAAAGTACCTATTTGGGTTAAATTCCCTAACTTACACCTAAAACTTTGGAATGAGGATGCTTTGAGTGAGATTGCATCCATGGTTGGTGTCCCATTGGCTACGGACAAAGTCACACATGATAGGTCTAATCACCACTTTGCTAGAGTGCTTATTGAAGTTGATATTTCGAAGCCACCGCCACTTTCATTTCCTATTCGACTACCATCCCGGAAGGTAGTTAAACAATTTGTGGTGTATGAAACATTCCCAAATTTTTGCTTCCATTGTAAGATATATGGGCATCACCCGTTTATTTGCAATAAGCTAGCATAAAGGAACGATGAGACTGTAAAATCAAGTGAGAAAGTTGAAGATGAACAAATAAAAATTGGGGGAAAGGAAAACATACCTGCGGAAATTGTGGAAACTGTTGAACTCGCTGCCCAACGGGCAGAATCTGCCCAGGAGATCCACCCGACTGTCCAGGGGCACAACCCGACCGGGACAGCCACAACCCCGACCGGGACAGCCACAAAACTGACCGGGTTTAACCGGCAGACAGATTCCCAGATTCCCAGGTGTCCAGAAGTTGTGACAAGCTCAAATGAACAATCCGTGGCCGCTTTGGAAGATATTGAGAGGGTAGTTACAGATGAGAATGATTTGCACCAACATGATGTCGTCACCAAATGTGAGATGGTTAACGGTAAGACACTCAAGTTGGTTGTCAAACCGTTTAGATTTGTGCGGGCTAGTGTGATTCGAGTGGATACTTCCCTTCGGCTCACGGACGATTTGGATAAAAAGGGCTTAACTTTCACCGCAAGATGTCTAGAGGGACTACCGGGAGTTACAAAGAAGAAAGGGGAGGTTTGTTTTGATGCTAAGTTCACTACTCCTTTCCGGGCTTTCTTTGGATATTTAGATTAAGAATTTTTGTAACATTAATTTGTGAGGTGGGGTCTGTCCCATTTTTTTTGATGCATTATATCTAGGTTAGTTGATTCTAGCTTAGATAGTCTTGTTGATTTGGATTTGATGCATTGTAAAATGCTATTTTTCGATCTCTAATATATTTACATGTTATCGAAAAAAAAAACGAGCGCGACCACCTCTGAATGCTTGACCGTCGCAACCACAAGCCGAACCACCCCCACGAGACTGAGCTTGGCCAGCAGAGGAAGAACGGTGGCTTGCAACAACAAGCGCCTAGTGTGATGGCATCGAATCTCAAGTATGCGGGAAGAGTATTCTTTGTTCTTGGTGAACTATGGGCCACCACAATGCATCAAAGGCAAAACTAGCCAGGAAATATGAAATAGTTGTGATCAACATTCATATTACCCACCAAGCCCAATAATTGTGTACTCAATCAAATTATGACTATTGAATGGGGAATTGATTGGCGCCAAAGCAATTGGCATGATCTTAATATCCCTCAAATATTGGTCCTCGGCTGGTGTAATACCCGAGATTAATTTAAGAGGATTAATAGTACTACTCATACAAACAAAGTGCATCTCCTTTTAAGGGAGCTCATCAGCTAAGAACTCCAAAGTTAAGCGTGCTTGCACGGGAGTAGTCTTGGGATGGGTGACCCCCCTGGGAAGTTTCTCAGGGCGCGCATGAGTGAGGACAAAGTGCGCGGTAAAGGCTTGTGGTGGTTTGTGAGGACAATATTAGAGGTTCGGAGTAACTACCTCGGGTCCTGCGGGGTCGGGGTGTTACAAATGGTATCAGAGCAACCCTGCGACAGTGTGCTGATTCGTTGGATATCAGGCAGACACTTAGCAGGGGAAAAGATTCTGGGGATTGATTGAGATTGGTTTAAGGGCGCAACGAGGACGTTGCAATCCTAAGTGGGGGTGATTGTAATACCCGAGATTAATTTAAGAGGATTAATAGTACTACTCATACAAACAAGGTGCATCTCCTTTTAAGGGAGCTCATCAGCTAAGAACTCCAAAGTTAAGCGTGCTTGCACGGGAGTAGTCTTGGGATGGGTGACCCCCTGGAAAGTTTCTCAGGGCGCGAATGAGTGTGGACAAAGTGCGTGGTAAAGGCTTGTGGTGGTTTGTGAGGACAACACTAGAGGTTCAGAGTAACTACCTCGGGTCCTACGGGGTCGGGGTGTTACAGCAGGTCAAACCATTCTTGGACTGGACCCCGGAGGGTGCTGAAGAACAGCCTGCAAATGGCTTAGTCGGATGTCCCCAACATGGTGAGCCCACCCTGGAAAGTGAGCAGGTGGGGACTTCGGGTTCCGACCCCATTGTACACCAACGTGCTTGGAGGCCTGCAGTCTGGCGGGATCTCTGCCGCCATGATCCTCGCAAAGAAGGGGGAGGTGAGTGCGATACGAGGTTGTGCCTGAACGTTTTCCGCCTGTCGATTCAGCTCGTCGATCTGCCTCTGCATCACAACGAACATCGCATCCTGTGTTATAGGAGCAGGAGCCACATGATCGATAGTTGCTGGTGCAGCCTTAACGCGGGCCATATTTGCAACGTGCTGCCTCTGGATGAAGCGGCCGCCATTCCCCTCAACATACTGGAAACAGTGACCCACACGATTCAAAGTTGGAGTGGGTTCCTTGGACTGTGCGCTATTGCGGGGTACCATCGGAGTCTTGTCCGTGGTGACCCGTTGTCTGTGTCTGGGTATGTCTGCCCCACTATGGCCTTCAATGTCTTGGGACAGTGGCGTCCCGCCAATTCGCGTGTGCATCCAGGCGCAAAGAGCCCTCGGTTTCATCTGTTCGTTCTCCAAACAGTTGCATGCGATGGATGGGGGAGGGGGTGTACACTCGGTCTCCGTCGTGTACACGGTCCAGTCCACGTCATGCTCATCGGCCATTCGACACATGGTTTCCGCTGGTTCCCTCATGATGTGAGAGTCCAATATGGCTTCAAGGGGAATCAAGTTCGCTACATCCCACCATTCCCCTGAGTCCATTCACTGCTAGACTGTCCGGCAGATGTCCGGGTGCATGACCTCTGGGTGTTCTCGAGCTGCTCAGAGAGGTCACATGAGCGCTCAGATGAGATCCTAACCATTTTTTTCTTGTTCGGAGAGCTTTCTTAGATGCTTCTTAGTGTGAGAGCTTGTTTGGAAACTTTTAGTTCCGTTTCCCACATACAACGCCAGTGTTGAGCTTTATTCCTTCAACTCCAAAGGCACAACACCTTCAATTCCTTTAGGTTTCGTAGGATATGAGTTAGTGGATCGAGGGTATTAAAATGGCACAAACAAATGATGGGTAGACAAGCAGAGTATCTAGTAAGTGGGTTGAGTTCTTATTAAGTGATAATAATGAACAATTACAGCACACCCCACTGTCAGCTGAGGCTGAGCGTCTAATCTGAGCTAAGAATACAAGGGGATAATTGTTATAGTTAGTGAATACAAGTTGCAAACCCCTAATTATGAAATAAATGCTACTACTTATACTACTAAGGGATCGGTGGTAATGGTGATGTGGAGGTCCTTGAGTGACTAGCTTCCCAACCATCAAATCTACTGCATTAAATGTGTTTCCCGCCAATATCTTGCTTTCCCGCCAAATGTCTTAGGCGAGTGTCCCCTACCTTTCTAGTTCTGGGCCCAAGTAAGCACAAGGCCAGGCCCACCACTCAGGTCATGCTGACGTTCTATCTGAGGCTCTCAGCTTCATCATCTGGCCCCATTGGGAAAATGGCGCAAAAGACGAGCGTCTTCGCCGACTGGATGAACGTCGGACATGCCTCTTTGTTGGGTCATTCCCAAACTGGGCCTTGAATTCTTTCTTAATAAGGGATAATGGGTTGTTCCCATATCGGGTCGATTACCCCAACATATATGAATTAGAGTGTAACAAACATGTTAGAATATACGGAGTACTTTGTATAACTCTATTTCAAATATAAATTTTTTATGCTATTAACCTTGATGGAGTATATGGCCTAGGAACCCCGGCCCACATACTCTTATTACCTCTGAACAAGCCCAATAGGCCCAAGCGGCCCAGTTGCAGCGGCCCATGGTTCACAAAGCCCTACTATGCAAGTGACGCCTTCGGCACCTTGGCCGAAGGCTTCATACTTGAGGAGACAATTATTTTTGGGACCAACATCGCTACTGGAAAATTCGGTCTCAAAGATTAGCCTTCGGCAGTACAGCCTTCGGCCATCCCACAGAGGGATCACCCTCGGCAAAAATTCCCTTATGGAGACACGTAACCATCGCATTAAATGCGGTGTCACGTCCAACCACCGCATTCAATGCGGTGCCACATGCAGTGCCAGCGCCAACGCGGCTGAATGACTCTCCACCATAGATTAGCTTACACGTGTACGTGCATTAAATGCACCTAGCACTTCTGGTTGCTATAAATAGCGCCCCTTTTACCATTGTAAGAAACAACAACTTCATTTATTACATTCTCTCTCTCTCTTACTTATTGCTCCGACTTCTCTTTAGATACCCCTCGTGGTATCCCCGAATAGACTATCTATTAAACCTCCTAGAAGAACTTTTTGGACAGTTGGACTTCACAAATCTAACACTAATTTATTGGATATTCCTTAAAAATAAGAGTAAAACATAGCACATTTATTTAAATAATAGTGATATTAGTTTCCTTTCAAATACGAATCATGCATACCTATTCTAGAAGTCTTTATTGTTTTATTATTTCAATAAGAGTAAATACGTCTAATTTTGGAAAAAAGCATATTTTGCTTTTTTTTATTAATCATTGTTCATATTTTATTTTTATTTTGAGCAATTTCTTTGTATTTATTTAACTATTCACCAAGAGTCGGTTTTCTATTTGGTCCAAAATCTACTTATATATACACATATGTGTGTGTTAATGCTAATTCAAATACAAGTATTTATTGAGTGAAAATAAGAACTAATTTTAGTTATTGATTTGATAAAATGGAAGGACCAAATCAGTTTTAAAAGTGTAAACGTGGTAGCATAAATGTAAACCATAGTTTTTCAGATTATTTAAAAAGTGCGTCCATTTTAAATAGTGCGGCAATATAGTAGAAATAAGAATGATGCGAATAAATAAAAATGTGCGTAAGAGCCCCATGATCTCCAAAATACTACTCCGTATGTATTCAACAAGGCCTGTTGAAAGTGTTGAGGAAGGATTAACGTTTATTGTTGTTTATACAGCATACATGTTACTCTGTACTAAGCAGGCATGGGTCACCCACCAGCATTGATAGTTGACTGATCAAAGCCGAAAATTACGTAAGGGAGGTCGCTATCATGATCGGCCAATTGACTTATTGAGCCATTGGTATAGAAAATGACAAAATGAATAAAGAGATTACCCAGACCTGCGTGAAAACTATGACACCCCTTAGCTGTATGCCGTACTGGAGTAGGTCTTAACAACATTATTGCACAGGATACTCAGAACAGTGCTATTATTTGATCCCACACACCTAGGAGTCTTGAACTGACTGACAGCAGCTCCTAACCCCACATAATGATCCAAAATCTTGTGGAATGTTCCCTTGCGCAACAGCCTGAGCTCCAGCGGACCAATGGACTTCACCTTCCTGGAGCTTATGTAGCCAGCATCGAGAAACGACCGGTCCAAGCAGTTGCAGCATTCCTCAAGAACCTCATCACTTGCTTCCCCACTAATTTCCCAGAAGATAACATAATTCCCTGGATCTGCAGATGTATTCACATGGCTGGTGAAGTCCAGCACTTCCACCTTTGAATCAGCTAAGACCTTTGCTGCCGCCTCCACCGATAACTGCAGATCCTTCTCGGTGTTCTTGTCTATGTTGATACTCAACAGAAGGTTTCTCCTGCATATAAACTGAAGCTCTGGTGTGGAGTTATGGAATCCCTTCACTTTCACAACATCTCCCAGCCGATATCGGTACAAGCCTGCACATAACGTATTGCTCTCGTAATTTGTTCTTTAGAAACAGAAATTCGACTTGTTCATGCCAAGCTGTCCCACATTGATCGCATATAAAGATACAAACATATTAGACATTTGACTACTCTTATCTAGTTTTGGAATGGAATCTCAAGTCTTAATGGTCCAACCAATGACACCCTCAAGTTCTACACTTGATTCATCATCATTCAGGAGTAAAGAAAAAGGAAAGTAAAATGTGTAAATGAAAACCAATCTAAAAACTGAACAGAGCATTTTAGAAACTGCTGTAGCAGTCAATGATCAATCACAAGAGGTGAGTGAAGATGTTACCAATAATAAAACATTGAATGTCTGCAGTTCTAAAGTCAAAAACCAGCTTTTACCTAAATGGCTGACTTGTGAGAGCACTTGTCAGCCCATTTTGTGCCTAACTTTTCCACCCTTGCATAGTTGCATAGCATGCACAAACAGTTGTAGATACAATTCTTGGGATGAATAAAATTGTACCTGCAAAATTGGTAACAACAATTTCATACTCCGCCCCAACTTTGACTTCAGTTAACCCCACCGTCCGTGGTTGCTGCTCCAACCCATCTGAGCTGTCACTCATAGGGATAAACTCAAAATAGCCAATGTTAGGGAGCACCGCAAAGGTGGCCAACTCAGGAGGCAACTTGGGGTTGACATTTGCACCAATCCATCCTTCAGACGAACCATAATCTGCGCTTAGCAAAGGCAAATCCCCTGCATAATGTCTCAACTTCTTCAGGTAGGGTTCCATCGATCCTGTCATGATTCCATAAATGTACCTTGTATGAGGAAAGAGCTCCTGAATTAGTCCATACCAATTACTCAATCCTTTGCATTTGTAGTAAATTGCATCAGCCAACTCGGGATCAGGTTTGAGCAATTTTGACATCGCCGCTTGAATGGAGGGAACAGTTATCCGGCTCGATAGAACCCCCTGCCTGATATCAGTACAAAGCTCTTCCCACACTAGTTCAAATGTGCGAAAAGCATGTACAATACTGTGGGCAAAAGTGGACGACACAACTTGGATGTCATTACGAAAAATGAGGCCACATAGAAGGTGACAGTATAGAGACTGGTGAAAGTCAGGGCCAAATATCACTTCATTGGGGCTGCAACAAGGTGTGTTCATTGCCCTCATTGTTTTGCTAAACTGTTCGTTTCGATACACATTAGTAGTAGCAGTTCCTGCTGCTAAACCCCCCTTTGTCTTGAACTGTTTGCTGCTGTATATGAACTGCAAAGCCCTCCCATTCCCTATTGGGAAATCTCTGCATAAACATCACCAAAGAATGAATGACAGTCATATCACTGCCTACTTCATGGGCGGAGTTTCAATTATTCTGACGGAAGAGAAGTCATAATCAATAAAATGGGTATAAAATGTGAAGATGATGATGATGATGATTCAATCCTCTTTATAATGTATTATATCGAGTATAAAGAGCTTTAATCGGGTTGGATAAGATTTGACCTAACTTGATCGGTAAATAGATTTAAAACGTTTAGGGCCCAAAATGCCCAAAACTGTTAGCAGGATCACATATTGAAATCTGTAATAAACCATATCAATGGACCTTAATGCATTCCAGATGCTCTTAAACTAATGAAACCAAGATGGTTCTCATTTAAGGGGCTTTAATTTATTTCTTGAAATGAGATATAAAGTAATTTGGGAACTGCAAACTCTTAAAATGGAAAGAAAATACTTGGAATACCTGTTCCTGTACGCAAAAGAAGTCTTGTATATCTGCATGGTAGAGTTCATCAATTCTTCATTGAAGGGCACGAACTTTGGCTTCCCCTGAGTTGTTCCGGAGCTGAAACAAACACAACACAACTTGAGAAACTATTTTTAATTCAACGAGACAAAGCAAAAGGAGATGAATTAAAGCAAAAGGGGACACCTCAGTGAGATGGAGGTAATGGGGTTGGTGGTGAGAATAGGAGAGCTATCGCCATCAGCAATCCTCTGAATATAAGGCTCCAAATCATTGTGAAAGGCAATGGGGATACAAGCTTTAAAACTCTCAGGGTCCGTCTTTCCACTAAGGCCCCATTTGAGCAGATACTCCGTCCCACTGTTCTCTTGCAGAATCCTCCTCAGAGTATCCTCTTGTACTCTCCCAGCATCCTTGGTCAACGCCTCAAATTGCTCAATCACTTCCTCATGATTAAACATCTTCTCTCCCTCCACTAACATCTCAACTATTGATTCATTCCTGGGGGAAATTGTGAGGAAAGATTGATTGGTCTGTGTGTGTGTCGGTGTGTGTGTGCATGAAAGTGAGGAAATTACGAGTGGAGTTGAAGATGCGGTCAAAATACGAAAGTTCATTCATATTGATATCCTGAAAGGTCCTCCAAATGCAGATATGTGCAATGTATGGGAAGGTGCACGCCCAACGTGGACCCTGGTCCACTCGGTTAACTTTGCGAAAAATGACAAGAACAATTATTGCACAATAAAATCCATTGTTCGCAAAATTTTGAAGTTGGGTGAATAAAACACTCACTCACTCACTTCGTAGTAATTTAACTTCTTCTTATCTGGATTTCATTCAATTTCTTTAAATGGAAAGATGAGAGAAACATAAAAAGAAGTTCCGAGAGAAGAATCACGCAACTCTAAATATACCATAAAGCGCCGAAATGATAAAATAAGAAAGAAAAACGTAAAGCGTTTTAACCGTTTTTTTCCGGTAAAGAGCAAGTTCCAATAGCAGTAAATTAAGGATGTGAATAGATCAGGCCAGAAGTTGGCCAAATTCGCCATCACCGGCGGTAGCTCTGACACAGATTCTCGACACATAACAAATACAAAAACGTAAAAATGAGATTGCTGCAGACCTACCTCACCTGGGTATATCATGAAGGTGAAGATAGAAGAAGAGAGATGATGAACCGCGGCAAGCGCTTCAGATGTTTATTGGGAGGAGGGGAAAGACGTCTCAATCTCATCATCACTCGATACATACATACAAGAGTGCGTGTGTGTGAGAGAGAGGGATTATTGGAGTGGGTGGGGCCGAGGTGTGGTTGGTTGAATTCTCACCCAACAACCAAACGCAATGAAAGCCTGCCTGAGCAGAAGGAGCGAACGCCTCGCCGTCTATAGGCAAGCAAGCCGAAATGCGGCTAAGCCTGGTCTATATTGAATTACCTGCGGAGCTACATATTTATACTCCAATCCCCAACATAATTTCTTACTACGGGGTAATAATATCGGTTGATTTGGCTGATTCGCTTAAATTTACGAAGTTGTGTTTGAAGTTACTATATTGACTGATTATGCTGATTTAAGAAAAAATTATTTTTAAAATATATTTTATTAATAAAATAAAGAAAAAATTATATGTAAAAATAGTTAAAATGATCATCTACAGTAACTTCAGCCAATACAGCAAAAAAAGTAACTACAACCTTACTTTTTCTGCTTATTACACAATTCAGCGAGCGAAAACAAAATTTACGTGTTTGGTGAAAAAGTTGGCTGATAAACTAAAAACAGTGTTGTCAAACGACTTCTAAATAGAATTCCTCCAATAGAATAATTAGAATTTCTTGTTAACAATAAAAAAAATGTTTCGTTGGAGTACAAAAATTTAAGGAATCTAACTCCACCATCATTACTATGTAGTACTCTCTCCGTCCCATTTTACCCGTCATACTTTTTTTGGGTTATCTCAAAATAAGTGTTTCAATTCCCTTTTTGAAATGAAATTCATGATCTACATGATTTCACTTTATTATATTCAAATATCAACCACAATTTTTACTTTTTTAACCACTTTATTAATAATCGTGTCAAGTCAAAGTAGGACACGTAAAATGAAACGAAGATAATAGTGTTTAAAATATGTATGTGAGACTATAATGATAACAATAGTAGTAACTAGCAATAGTAACCATAATAACACTAGTCATAATAGTAGCAACCATAAAGAAAGTTATGAGTTTGTATTAGGGGTGGGATCGGGTTGGGTCGGGTTTTGGCTAGGACCGTTAAAAACCCGGCCGAAAAGTTTCGGGTTCTACATTTTTGGGCCCGACCGTGTAGGATCAATACTTTTGGGTTGGTCCGGATTTTAAGAGCCTCGGGTGCGGGTTGGGTTCGGGTCGGGTTGAGTTGAACCCGAAAAAAATGTAACTGAGATATATCTAATAACAATTGAAGTACAATCACAACAAAATTTGCAAATATTAACCTTCTTATAAAAAAATAGTTAAATATGTGTAGTATATTCAAACCAAATCAATATATTTTGAATAAAAAATCACACGATGGAAAATGTTGTAGAAGAACAATTGGTTTGAAAGCAAAGTAATATTCCCTCGGTCCCAAATTGATTTACAAAATCAAGATTTTTGGGTCAACCAATGTTAAAGTTAAGGGAAAATGGAAACTAATAATCCAACCTTTTAGCGGTCTTCTTACAATAGTCCCACCTTTTGATTATTCATGAATAATCCAACCTTTGCACCTCATCTTCATTCACTGGTCCCTGACCGGTTGATGACCTACTATTCCAAGTTATTTTCTTATCTTTGCAAACTATTATACCATAAATCTTACCTTTCACAAAGATAATATTTTGCAAAGATAAGAAAATAACTTGGAATTGCAGATCTTTAACCGGTCAGGGACCAGTGAATGAAGATGAGGTGCAAAGCAGGGGTGGAGACAGGGAGGGGCTGGGGGGGGCCTCGGCCCCTGCAAGAAAAAAATTCTTAAGTATATATTATGTAGAAATACTTTTAATTTATTGAAAATATGTTGATATTTTAAACTTTGGCCCCTGCAACGTAAAACCTTTAAGGATCGGCCCCCTTAATCATAAATTTCTGGCTCCGCCACTGGTGCAAAGGTTGGATTATTCATGAATAATCAAAAGGTGGGACTATTGTAAGAAGACCGTAAAAAGGTTGGATTATTAGTTTCCATTTTCCCTAAAGTTAAAACCTTTATATTGATACTTAATTCAATTTTTAATAATTAAAATTTACATATTCAAAAACTAAATTAAAATCTTTTCAAAGTTGCAATCTCCAAATTAAATATAATTAAAAGTTGACATCCAAATTAAATGAATAAAATGAAATTGTTTGACTAAAAAGTCAATTTCGCAAATCAATTATACGTATTATTTATAAAAAATCGGTATGATGTATTAATAGGTCATACGTATTTTATATAAAATATATATTTTTTAGTTTCTTAATTAAATCGGGTTTTTAGGTCCAGGTCAGGCTTAAAATTTTAGAACCCGAATTAGGACCCAAGTTTTCGGGTTCGGTTCGGGTATTATAACCTGGACCGGTCATTTAAAAAAACGGACCAATGTCATATATCGGGTTGGGTCAGTTCGGTTATCGGGTTTTGGGTCGATTTTTCCCAACCCTGGTTTGTATATCCTCGTACATCCAACTACGGCTTACACCCGAGAGTTGATGACATCTTTGTAATTTAACTAAAAATCGCGGTTTTTGTGATTAAGCATCAATGCCCTTCTATTGATCATCACATCTATTTTGTTGAGTGTTAGGAGTCTAATATTAAATATCGTCATCACTTCTTCATATCTTCTAATTCACTTTCTTTTTCTTATTTTTTCATTTTTAAAGAGTTTTTAAATTAAATATATAATCAATTCTTATGAGATCAAATATGTGAATCTAATTTAACATTATACTTTTGAAGAATGCATTAATATAAAATTCGCAAGCTCTGCTAGTTGAGAATTAAGACATTTTCATTGAGCATCAATCATCCTTTTTTGAACATTAAAATCTAGCAATTGAGTTTTGTGCTATGTGCTCTTATATCTTCTAACTTACTTTCTAATTCTTAGCTTTTCTTTCTTTTCCTTTGTAGAAAATTCTTAAATTATATCTGATGGATTCGCCGACTTGAGGGTAGGTAGAAACCGAGGGAGAGTCGGAAATATGTTGAGTATGAAATTTGGCAAAGTAACACCTTGAGAATACAGAATGCAATTCCTTTCCTCAAGTTGGGAGGCGATATTTATAGTGTACAAAGAAATGTTTACGGAACAAGTAAAAATAACTTTCCCACTAGTCTAATGAATCGTGTAAAAATAATTACATAAATTGCCCTAAATAGGAGTAAAAACGTTTTAAAATTCCAAAATAGGAGTATCATGTTTTTTATTCCCTGAATGGGAGTAATCTGCTATGTTTGGAAAAAATGCCATGTTTAAAGCCTTGTAATGCCCAGACTTGGCAGAAATTTACTCATATTTAGGGAATAAAAAACATGATACTTCTATTTTGAAATTTCAAAACATTTTTACTCATATTTAGGGACTTCTCTCAAATAATTATAGAGATAATATCTAATTGTTTGGTACTATTGTACCAGCTTTTATCTTTGCGTACTGGATTGCGTAAATAAGCCACATGTGTAATTGGGAAACTGGCATGTGTAATCGAATTAGGAGACAACTATCATGTAATAGTTATTTAAAACTTATAAAAAAATGAGAGGGAAGTTAGAGTGAAATGGGATTAAAAAAAACTTGGTAAAATACTTTTACCTTGATCCTTTATATTATTATAGATTTACATTAGTATCTAATTGATACTATTAAGAGTATTAACAATGACAGGAAAGTCTTGAGAATTAATAAAAGATGTTTGACATTTTTTACCTTGGCTTGAAATTTAATTTATACGAAGTCTAATAAACGAGTAAACTTAGCATGTTAATTAGTATGCTTCCGTAAATAGTTATAGGAAAATAAATTAATGCGAGTAATTAGTGCCTTAGTGGGAGGAAAAATAAGTTATTGAACTATGTGTAATTCACATCTTGAAGAATACTCCGTAAATAGTTAGATACTACAGCTTGGATAATAGTGGGTCGATGAAACCGCTATTTTTTTTAAGAGGAAAGTTTTATCGATGATTCAAGAAAAACGAGTACAATGGAAAAAAAAACAGGAAGGAAAAATAAAGCTAAAACCCAACCCTAAACGCTAAAGATGAACCCTCCCTATAAAGATTGAGTTCCAAAATGTAATCAGAACTCTATATGAGATTGAGATCTTGTTCTCATGTGATGCGAACGCTGATATTTTTTCCTGTAAATTTTGATTTGCGTATTGAGGTTTTGAGCAGGCAAGCAATTTTCTTTAGTGACAAAACGAGCCTTATTACAAATGTCCTCATTTGTATCAAAACCGTTGATTTTATGCAGAGCTGTGCCTACTGTGAGGCGGATGAGGCACTTGCCTCAGGGCCCAAGAAAATGTTAAAATTTTAGGGCCCAAAATTCTAGATATTTCTATAGTATATATGTGTATTTTATTTACATATTGGCTTCCTTTGCCCTTTGTCCGATCCGCTCCTGATCTGCTGCGCTTGAAAAAGGAAACCCCCAATTACCAGCAGTGCATAGACGGGACAATCCACAAATGGAATAAAAAGGAGGTTAAGGAGATTTGCTATTCCCTGAAGTACAAAAAAGGAGATTTTCTATTCCCTTATTCCAGTCTTGACTAATCGATCAACAACAGAGCAAAAGTGAATATTAAGTGTCAAGTTTAATCTTTCATCTTTTTTGCTTAGCTTGATTTTCTAATATTTTTATATTTAAGGCCTTAAAAGGATTTATATATAGCTACCAAAATACAAATATGTCTGATTTTGTGATTGTGATTAAGTTGCATTGTGAATATCCGATTATGTGAATTGTGATTTTTTGTGTTGGAAACTTGAGAACTGGATAGGTGAAGAATGGATTTGATTAATAATCAATAATCACATGGAGTATGAAAGCTTTTATTATTGTGTATATGATCTAATTAACCCACCAGAGAGGTTTTGACTGAATCAATCATGTTTTTATTTATTTTTAGTATCATGCCTCCAAAATGCATGTCTGAGTTTCAAAAGAGGAAAAGGAAATCATGTAGTGATTCATAAATTCAAAGTCATGATGGAAATAGTAATAAGTACTTAATTTCGAACAAAAGAGCCACTCCAAATAGCACCTCCAACTATGGTATCTATTGAGAAGGAATTTATTGAACATCTAGATTATGCCGACTTAATTAATACTTTTGCATCTTAAATTGTCCAGTGAGTTGTACTTAGTTAGTTATATACATTAACATTAATGTAATTTTTATTTAATAGGTCGTTTTTATGTTGTTTAATCTTCAACTTCAAAGA